CAAGTCGATTCAATTGGCCAAATAGGCTAAAATTGAATCGAACTAACCCGAGAACACCCCTATTTAGAATATTGTGGGTTCTTAAAATGCAAAATTAAAGAAAGAGAGTGAGATCATTTTTTTAGTATTTTTTGTCAGTTTTGGTTCAACAATTATGATAACCCAAAAGGTCAAGTCGGTTTCATTTTGGATGTTTGTAATCCAACCAAAACCGACCTAATCCGACCATGGATATATAATAATATTTTAAAATATGGAAAAATGGAAATTTTCTCATATTTTCTAGTTTAAAATTTTTTATATTATAACTTTTTAAAATACAATTACATTTTTTAATTTAAATTTAATTTTTAAATTCAAATATTTTGAACTAACCATCCAAATAGAAAACCGATCTAAACTAGTACAAACCACGTTGGCCAATTTTCAGTAATAATCGGTCAATTTTAGGTAGGGATGGCATCAGGGCAGATTCAGGGAGGGTTTTGTAAATTCTAAACCCTACCCACCTCCCTAAACCTCCTAACCTGTACTTGCCCCAAAACCCGTTGCTGGTTGGATTTTGAGAATTCAAACCCTCTCCACACATGAAAATGCAAAACCCTCCCCACATTCAAGGGTAGGGATGGATTGGGTTTAGGACCCGCATCTAATTTCTTATTATTTCTTGTAATATATAGTATTCTTAATGGAGCTGTGGTCTATCTCTGCTTCATTTTCTTTATCCCTTTTACATTATGAATCAAAAAGGAAAAATACTCTGGCCGATATAAGGAGAAATGGCTTGGTTGGGGGTGGGGATTAAAGGAGAATCAGAAGTTGCATTCCACAACTAAAGCTTCAGATACTGTTGCTAATATATTGATATGGCATTGTTTGTAATTTGATAACCCAGATCGGTTCGGGAAGATTTCCATAACCCACAGGCCACAGCGCTACCTCTTTTTAATTTTATTTCCGATTCACACCATATCATCACATGTTAATATCATATTCTTTATTTTATTTTTTATATTACAAAATAAAATTAACAACGATACGAACTTGACCCACTAAAACAGTAAAACCCAACATTCAGCATGAATCCAATAGTCAGCCAGAGACCTTAGCAACTGAACCAGTTTGCAACCTTCAAATTGTTGGATTAAAGGGATAAAACTGAAAAGATGAGATATGAAGTAGTAGAGGGTAGAGGTACCATTTTTTACAAGGTGTATTTCATGGACAGGAAAGACAATTCAAGGAGAGTTAGATTGATCAATTGCATACGTAGCAAGTTCAGATTTCATGGATAGAAAATATCGGACGATATCAAGTGATTGACACAAGTCAAGTTTTATTCCTTCTTTTTCTTAAAATTCTGTTTTAAGTGTCCATTAATTACTCCATTACTTATGCTATCATTCGTACTAATTGTGAATTTTTTAGATTTCAAATTTCAAATTAAGCCATTTAATTACCAGCATGAGTGCCATTAATTGTGAATTATCATATAAATAAGATAACAATATAACATACACTTTATTCAAGAAGGAAAGCACACGTAATCCAAATAAATAATGTTATATATGAATGCTCAAAGTAAATAATTAAAAACGATGATCATTAGAAGTAGTATTTTATTAATATTAATAAAATGAATAATGTATCAAAAATACTAAAAAAAATGTATCCACCAATGTTGATTATTATACATCTAGTAAAGCATGGTTTTATTATGTGTTTTCACCATTTATCATTAATGTATCCATGGGTGGGTACATCGGTATCCAAAGCTTATTGCCATACATATCTATGGGTACATGGTTATGTAATACCAATATTTGTATATTGATCTTTGGTTCATAGTTACACAAGCAAGGGTGGAACCCATTATGAATTATCATGGGCTACAACCAGGGGGTACCCATTATGGATTATCATAGGCTACAACCATTATCATGGGCCAAACCCGGGCTGGGATTTTACAAAGTATCAACGGCATTGAGGCCTGAGTAGGTCTGGCTCGCACCTTAGGCTTTATATTATATGTCTGGGCCCAGTCCCAGGCCAGACCGGATGTCTAGCTTGGCCCATATAAAAATTTTAATTTAACTTTATGTTCGTAGAAAATTCATATTTAAAAAGCTCTGGTGCATATATTAATATATAACACTATATACGTGTCATTATATATATGCCATATATCATACCGTTACCGTACGTACTACCTTTATAGATATATACTTGGTAAAATATTATACTATATAACATACTACTTTATTACTAGAAAGAGTAATATAATAATAATAATAATAATTTCTGGGCTAGGCCAGGTTTGACTGAAATATGACTGCCTAGATCCCTATAGCCCACCCCATGGTTTTTAAAAACGAACAGGTCAGGGAGTTGGTTACCGGTTCGAACGGTCAGACCGTTCGACACGAATGGCCGGTCCATTCGGAAAAAAAATAAAAAAAATTAAAAAGAATTTAAAAAATTGGAAAACGGTCAAAACCATTCGAACGGTTCGAACAATTAACCGGCCGGTTCAGCGATTTGTTGACCAAAATCAATGGTTTTGGGGGAAAATGCCCAATTTTTCCAGTCCGACCGTCCAATCCGGTCCGGTTTTAAGAACCATGGCCCACCCCTATATGCATAATCCCCCAGCCCTAGTAACAAGAGGTATTGATCCCACAGGTGAATGACGGTTCAGCCCAAGGTCAGAATTTTTAGGCCCAAAGTACTGTTGCAGTGAGTGCCAACTCCGAATTAATGTCAATGGGCGGGCATTGGTGTATAGAGTGGAGTTTTTGACATTTTGAATGTTTATAGCTCTGCAATGGAAATCAGAAATCTGCATTAAGCCTATCCATACTTTTCCGTTGATCCCAAAGTCTGCTACAACCCGCCAAAGACCCTACCAACTGAACCATCTCCAGTTACCAATAATTTTGAACCTCAAATTGAAATATACATTTCGTATGTTTTCATACTTTGTATTTGTAATTATTAAAGCTTTATTCTGAATAAACTTTTCCACCATATCTAATGAGGGTCGATTTGGCCCGTCGAATCATTTGGAGACACATGGAGCCACGAACTAACAAGGTAACACTTCAACATTCTCGGACACCTCTCAGCAATCTAATCAACTCGGGCACCTCGAGTCACTCGGCTATGACAAGGGCCCAAGCAGCTCGTCACACCCACCGACCTACTGAGGTGCCACATAACCTCCTAGAAGCAAGGCACCTATCTCCAATCTCCTTGGGATCATGGTACACATCATTGGGTCTTATCATCACCCTACCCGAATCAGACGGACCTGATAAGCCAAATCAACTTACGCGGAATCCATCTTCAAGTGCGAAACTAACTCCGGATTGGACGAGCCAATGATCTCGGTCATGCATCATGAGGCCCACGGCAGCTTGCCTATTCTAAGCTATCAACTTTCTCAAAAATCTCATTCGCTAACTTAAGCATCGAAATGCCCACACTGGATAAAGTACCCTAGGAGCTTTGATCCTCTTGTCTTGCGGTTTGACCCAACCATATAACAGTCCAATATCTAAACTGACTTTTAGTAAAGAGCAGCTAGATCGCGCAACAACAATATCCATGTGAGTGCAAGTACATCGTAAAATCAAAATTCAGATACTCCACCACTCAAAATGATTTTTGCCTCTAAACTTTTGAAACCTTCATGTCTACTCATCCAAATCTTTCCAAACAATCACATTATGGGAAGTGATATGTAAATGTAGACATTTTAAGTTGAGGCACAACACTTAAAACATTGCAAACTCTAACACAAACGATACAAATACAAATATGTATTATACAAATACATACAAAATAATACAAAATACAAGATTTTGCACTCTACATGTTTCTATTTGTACTCCTTCCAAAATGAGCCTTAGACTCAATTTTGAAAGAATATACAAATGCAAATATGTATAGTGCAAATACAAGATTTAGCAATACAAAGTACAAGGTTTTGCACTATGAAACATTTGTATTGGTACTCTTCCCAAACTGAGAAGAGTACAAATACAAATATGTAGGGTACAAAACCTTGTATTTTGTTTTATTTTGGATGTATTTGTACTATACATATTTGTATTTAATCCTTTCCAAACTGAGCTTTAAGTAATGTAAAGAACAAGCATCACTATTAGAGGTGTAAACCGGGTTGTGCCACCCGCGGCCCGGCACAACTCAGCACGATGGTCTGCGGGCCATGCCAAGCCTGACACGATCGTGTGGGCCGGGCCGACACGACACAAACGAGCGGGCAGCCCAACACGGCATGGCCCGACACGGCCCATATATATTCATGTAATATTATATAAATTATAATTATATAATAATATATTAATAAAATAAATAATTTTTTAAATTTTATTATACTAATTTATTTAATTATTGTATATATATAAGCAATTGTATACATCAAATTCATATAAAATTAAAATTTTAAGTTTTTTGTCAAATTTTTTAAATAAGTAGCTTTGGCCCAATGCACAACCTGACCTAGCCCAATGCTCGGCCCATGGGCCAACCCAGCCCACGACACGGCATGGCACAGCATGGTCCCACACAGGCCTGGGCCATGGGCTGTGCCGAGTCGACCCCCCAAATTATCCCAAGGGAGGGCAGCACGGCCCGACACGGTCCACTCTTTGTGCGAGATGCCCACAGGCCATGCCATGCCAGCCCGGCACAGCCCGTTTTACACCTCTAATCACTACCCATTAGGCTCAGTTTGGAAGGAGTACAAATACAAATTTATAGAGTACAAAACATTGTATTTTGTATTATTTTGTTTGCACTGTACATATTTGTATCTGTACTTCCAAACTGAACTATAATTACAGACTTATTCTATTCCACTGCATCTATAGGTTTAGGTTAATACTACCTTAAAAGATTGTGAAATTGTGATGACAAAAGCACGGGTACTTTTGAGCTGCCACAGGTAGGTACCAGAGCATTTGAACTCCTTAACGTCAATGTGTAGAGATCAGAAAATCCACTTACCTTTGTCATGGATACGTTGACAACTATATTCCAATAAAAAAATACAGGGAAGGTAAAAAGGTAAAGAAAACGATGTGAATAACCAAAATATTATGGAAATGCAGAAAGATTTAATTGTACCAGTCCAGAAACAGGATTGAGAAAGTAAGAACAAATAAGAAAAGCAAAAGAAAAGTTCTGCTACTGCTGTTGCGCTGCATGGCTTGAGAGAGCTCTTTGTTACCCATTTCCACGTTATTTGTAGCTTCAACTGCCTGAGAAAAAGTTTCATTTAATTTGGTGTCTCACAAACATTAGCAGATCCAATAACATCAAGAATCAAAATAAGAAAAAAAAAAAAGATGAATGCCGTCAACATCTTAAAAATTAGTATTCTTCCTAGGGATGCAACTCATACTGGGGTATATTAGGTTGAAATTTAACCAAAACAGACTGATGTCGGCTCAATCATAACCTTAAGCCAGAAAGGAATTAGCCAACCTAGGATTCCACCCAAGTAAGGTATGCAATGTGGAAGCTAAGGCCTTTGACTACACTAGAAATCTGTAAGGGAAAGCAGGCTCATCTGCATTAGATGTTCAATTAATCACCACTTTGCAGCCTCTTCCACAACCAGGCCACTCCGACCGGAAGATATAGCCAGCTTTAGACCTTGTAAAAGATCAATGAATTATAACCTTAGGGAGTTTCCTTCCCCAACAGGACCTAGGAAGACCACCTTGTCTCTAAAAGCCACACTCACACCAGGTCTGGGTTACCTGAAGCACATTTATCAAATGTGAATTTGCTGGTAGTAAGGAATATTAATTGGTCATAGGCCTCTTATAGGGGACAATCAGGCCAGGGACCCGGAAGGGGGCGGGGGGAGCTATCACTCTCTAGAATTCAGAAGTTTTTGAGAGAGCAGAAGAATTAAAGCAATCATGAACTCAATCAAGGTGAGAGGAATTGAAGATGGATTTGAGTGTGTAATTGGAAACATATAGTAGAAATCACTATCTGCTGATTTGGTCAAGCTTCTTGTGAAAGAAAGAGGAGAAAGTTGTAGATTTCAGCAATAGAAAGAGAAAAGGGAAGAAAGGAGAAGGTCAACTAGGATTGTGTGTCATAACCCTAGCCGCCAGCCCCTCATTCTATTTATATTTAACTAAATAGTTACAACCCTTTAAAAAATAAAAACTAATGGGCCCAACGCCCAACAACTTCTTAATTTAAAAGAAAATAAACTAAACACAGATCGGCCCACTCAACAACACAAATCGGTGGCCCCACTCAACACTCCCCCTCAAGTTGGGAGTAGATGTCACACATTCCCAACTTGCATAGATCATGCTCCAGCTTATTCTTTGCAACGCCTTTTGTGAGAACATCAGCAAGCTCCAGATCAGAAGAAATGTATGGAAGACAAACTTCTCCAGAAGTTACCCTTTCTCTGATAAAATGTCTATCTACTTCAATGTGCTTAGTTCGGTCATGCTGAACTGGATTATAGGCAATATTAATTGCTGCCTGGTTATC